GGAAACGATTCAAAACAGTGGGACAAGCTTACTGGGTGAAAAGTTGAATAAGCGAACGGAGGGCTTTATTAATTATCAATTGTGTGTATGTTGTTGTTGTTGTTATTGTCGTGCAGAAAATCTCAGTTTGAGGTGACTAAGATTACAACAAATATGAAATCATCCTTCACAGTTGTACTGCTCTGTATGTCCTTTAAATGCAAGAACTGATTTATGATTCGAAGAAAGCTCTTGCAGGGGTTCATTTGCTTGGTGTCAAATGAATTTCACTCTAAAAACAAAATAAAATTCTTTCTTCTCAATCAAACTATTTTATGAGTCATCAGAAAATCACAAGAATTGATACTCGCTACTACTTTCCAAACAAGAAACCAAATAAAATTATTTTTTAATAAAAAGTATTAACAGAAACTTTAGTCCTAAAACAGAGTAAATTCCTTGAGCATTTTTCTCATAGCATCTTGCACATTCGTATCATTATCATGAGTCTTTGTGGTGGTTGTCATTTGAGAGCTGATCAAAGCCTAAATCCTTCTTTGGTACTTTTCATATGCTTTAGTTCAATTGGCTTCACAAGGATTATTTTCTCCGTCCATGTCCTTGAGGAAAAATGAAAAATACAATATGAGAGTCAAATTTATATATGGATAAGAAGCAAGAAAACTATAAATGATTAATATATATATATATATATATATATATATATATATATATATATCCTATACCTGATTCGTTGGTTAACTTCTCAAGGATAATCTATAGAGAAAACGCAGTACAACCATGGAGAAAACGAACTCCTATAAGAGCTTTCTTCTAGTACATATGTGTATGACGGACTGTATTCGGTAGAGAAATGTTGGCACTTGGCAAGATATGGGTCTCATGGTAAGCTAAGTTTCAACTGGACAGAATCCAAGTTCAACAAGAGCTGGCTTGGAAAGAAGTGAAGAAGCAGTACAACGATGGTGAAAAATTGGGAAGAAGTTTGCTTACGTTGGTAACCCAACAGCCACAGGAAGAATTCTATTTTGGATTTGCAGACCTCGTTAACCCAACAATCAGATTATTTAGGATTTTTTTTTACTTTTAAATGTTAAATAAAAAGTTAACAGAGTTTAAGATTAAATTAAGTTAGAGAACATATGTCAAAATATTAGTAATGAAATACAAACGAGGCATACAAAAAAGGATAACAAATCTGAAGTCGTCAAATATGTATAACATATTCTACCTAAGATTTTAATATTTCTTTTAAAGATGCTCTAAGCGAGGCACAACATGCTTGATACTTTTCAAACTTCCCATGGGAGCTGCAATTACTCGTAAAAATTATTTTCCCGGTTCCCAAGGAAGATTCAACTCTCTTTACATGGCTTTCAAACTTCCCATGGAAGCTGCAATTACTCATAAAAATCATTTTCCTTTTTTAACCCTAATACCATGCCGCACGTACGACGTGTTCCAAAGTTCCCATGCAACCTGCAATTACTCATAAAAATTATTTTCCTTTTTTAACTTTGTCTTCTGTTATATTTTTACTTGTGCTTTTTCCTTCACATTCCACCGTTCATCTTCCTAACCGTCCCGTTAATAACCATTATCCCATACATTATGTTGGAGAAGACCAATCGTGTTGGACAACAATTTAACGCTAGCTAGTGGAAGGTTTGTGAAGTATTGTAGGGTTCCAAAACTTGTAGGACTTGGAAAATTGAGGGAGTGCATAAGTTTCTGCAGAACGATAAAAACCAAAAACTGAATAGAATCCAAAGACTGAAGAGAGAGAGAGAGAGAGAGAGAGAGAGAGAGAGAGAGAGAGAGAGAGAGAGAGAAACTTAATAAAGCTCTTAACACAAACAATTAATACATGAAAATTAGTCAATATTTGCCTAGTAGCTAAAATAGGCACGGAAAAAGAAACATATAGTTTCGTGCGCATTAGGTCCTTTCCAGCCAAGAGCTATTGGTCACATTTAGTTCTAACGGCACGTTCAAGTAAGGGTAATCAAAATCAAACAGCGAAATTGAATTCCGATTGCAAAATACTCCGATATTTACTAAATAATGCGAAATCAAAGATTTGGTGAGATCCGCACAAATTTTGAAATCCAACTCCGTGGTGGTATTTGTATTCCGAGTTGTTGGGTTAATCATAATCGACTTTTCCTCCTTATTATAAACTCATTTATATCTAAAGCTCTAAAATTGCCTTTCATATTAAAAGCAATTTGAGTTTGTGAGGACCCGTATTTAAGAAAATATCATATTAAAATCTTTTATTTTATGTTTGTTAATTTTCCATGTAATTTTACTAATTTATACATATGTATGCATGTGTGTGTGTGTGTTTTAAACCCTAGTGCTAGATATCTTTTCGTTTCGTGCATTGCATAAGATTAGGACACCTCCTGCAAAAAAAAATTATCCCTATATTTATATTTACTATATTTTTAATTGGTCTGTAAGTCTAGCAGCCGACTAGAAATAGAGACATGCCTTCTTTATTTTCAAACATTGCCCTAGGGCTGTGCAAAGTGTATGTGTAAGTAGTTTATGTAATGTGCTATCACTATTAGAAAATAGGGCTTGTCTTACAAAAGTTTGCCCGACGGAATAGTTTTCGTCGGTTTAAAAGCCGTTTACTCAACGAAATATTCAATTCGTACACCCATTTTACCTATAACGTACCTTGTTTATTTTTTGTTGTTGATATTTTTTTAATTTATTAATCTGACAGTCGAACACACACTTTTGTTAATTTTTTACCATTGATCTTCTTCAACTCATTCGATCTGACGACTAAAAATTAAGAACGGTATGTGAGAAGTAAAAATAAGTATGTAAATAATCATTCCCATGAGATAAAAGTGAATGATTTTAGAGATGTGAGTGAAAAAAAAAAAAAAAAAAAAAAAAGAGGAGTGACATGGGGAGGTTGGACAAATAGGTTAAAGTGAGAGCACAACAGTGTGCTAGAAAAACGAAGTTATTGGGCATTGCCCACGGGCCCAAGATTAACAGACGGTACTCCATCCATTTGATTTATCCATGAATTATTTTACGTGGGAATGCCTGGAATGCCTTGCCCTACGATTGAAGGGAATTCACGGGTCAAACACAAGCGGGAGCGGTATCTCAAACAAATCACAAAATGACGTGTGAAGAAGTAAAATCATATGATATTGTGTTATTAGTGGTTCTAAGAAGCTCAAGGGAGTGTAGGTAAGTGTTCGTCCTCTAATTGATCTTTCCAAATTTTATGCGTTATTGGATTACAAATTCTAAATTTTAATGTGAGAATCATTTCATGTAAATAAACATGTCATCAAGAGTTCAATACAATTTTTTTTATTTTTATGAGGATTATAAAAAAATTAGAAAAAAAAAAAAGTGAGTCTCATGACCAATGCCAAATGGCAAAGAGAGTGAAACTGCTCCACAAGGAGCTCACTGTCGACGGATGAGCTCCCAACCAATGCTGGGAGGACCATCAGCATCACAATAATCAACATGCGACATTAACTTCGAAATGTACAAGCATCAGATAGCTCAATTTAGTTAGGATCAGATCAATGTTTCCCCGTCAGAAATTTATAAATTATAACAAGGGATTGATTATTTACTTCGAAAGCTCTTACATATTGTTCCTGGTTAACTTTTTGGAGTAAAATTCTTGATCCAGAAGGGAATACAAATTTAGGGCAGTAACCTGAATTATAGAGTAAATGAAAACACATGTAAAACCTTGATACTGCCCCATATAATATTATCACATATTGGCCGGGTGAAATTGAGCTCTCGTATCAAAAACAAGAACCCATTTGAAACGGCCGAAGGAATTTTCGGCCTTGCTCCGGAGTATTCTACTTTTTCTAAGTTTTTACTCGTTAAATCATTTGTCAAAAGAGAAAACGCCGAAAAATAATGTATTAAACCTTCCTTCAACGCAAGAGGAGATGCAAACATCTTCTCACTCAAGGGCAGGCCTTACTTTTTGGGGTTTTTATATGCCCGCAACGGAACTCGAGTGCCATGACAATTAAGTTCGCTTGGATCTCTCATAGGCAATTTTAGACCTCTAATCAGTTTCAATTAATCAAACACAAACCCTAATCAGATTTAAACCACTCCTTAATCAAACAAATTAAAGTATTAGAACCACAACAAGACCAATAAACCAAGTTAAATATTGTAAGAAAAGAGAGAGAGAGGAGTTGAAGGAGCATCAGTTTTAAACCACTCCTAATACCTTGCCGCACGTACGACGTGTTTCAAAGTTCCCATGCAACCTGCAATTACTCGTAAAAATTATTTTCCTTTTTTAACCTTTGTCTTCTGTTATTTTTTTACTTATGCTTTTTCTTTCACATTCCACCGTTCATCTTCCTCACCGTCCCATTAATGGCCATTATCCCATACATTATGTTGGAGAAGACCAATCGTGTTGGACCACAATTTAACGCTAGCTAGTGGAGGGTTTATGAAGTATTGTAGGGTTCCAAAACTTGTATGACTTGGAAATTTGAGGGAATGCCATAAGTTTCTGCAGAACAATAAAAACCAAGAACTGAACAGAATTCAAAGACTTAAGAGAGAGAGAGAGAGAGAGAGAGAGAACAACTTATTAAAGCTCTTAACACAAACAATTAAATACATGAAGATTAGTCAATATTTGCCTAGTAGCTAGTATAGGCACGGAAAAAGAAACATATAGTTTCGTGCGCATTAGGTCATCTTCAGCCAAGAACTATGGGTCACATTCAGTCCTAATGGCACATTCAAGTAAGGGTAATTGGAATCAAAAAGCGAAATTGAATTTCGATTACAGAATACTCTGATGTTTACTAAATATTAAGGAATCAAACATTTGATGAAATCTACGCAAATTTTGAAATCCAACTCCATGATAATATTTGTATTCCGAATTGTTGGGTTAATCAAAATAGACTTTTCCTCCTTATTATACACTCATTTATTTCTAGAATTCTAACAAAAATACATATTAAAAATCTTTTGTTTTCATGTATATCATGATGACACTTGTATACCAAGTGTCGAACCCTAATACATACATTAGCCATGCGCAATTCCATTAGTGTTCAACATGATTTATTTATCCCATTTGGATAGTTTTAAAGTTAACATAGGGGATATTTATATTTTACTATATGTTTACTTGGTCTGTAAATCTAGCAGCCGACTTTTCTATTATAAATAGAGCCATGCCTTCTTTGTTTTCAAACATTGTCGTAGTGGCTGTGCAAAGTGGATGTATGAGTACTTTATGTAATGTGCTATCACTAACAGAAAATAGGGCTTTTTTTACAAAAGTTGGCCCGACGGAACAGTTTTTGTCGGTTAAAAAACCGTTTTCCCGACAAAATGGTCAATTCGTTCATCCTTTTTGCTCTATCATATCATATTAATTTTTTGTCATTGATCTTCTTCAAGTCCCTCGATCTGACTGCCGAACACACACCCTTCTTGTTTTTTTACAATTGATCTCCTTCAACTCCTTCGATCTGACGGTCGAAAATTAAAAAAAAAATGTGTGAAAAATAAAAATAAATGTATAACTCTACCTATTATAGGTGTAAAAGCAAATTAATTTAGAATGGTGAGTGAACAAAAAAATGAGTGACAAGGGGAGGTTGGACAAATAGGTAAAGTGAGAGCCCAACAGTGTGCTAGAGAAACGAAGTTATTGGGCAATGCCCACAGGCCCAAGATTAACAGATGGTTCTCCATCCATTTGTTGTATCCATGAATCATTAGATATAGGAATGCCTTGCCTTACTATTTAAGGGAATTTCATGGACCAAAACATATAGAAGCAGTATCTCAAACAAAACATACAATCATTTGTAAGCAAGTAATAACACATGACATGTGTTATTTGTGGTTCTAAGAGGTCCAAGAGTTCATCCTCCAATTGATCTTTCCAAGTTTTATGTGTTATAAGATTACAAATTTTGAATTTTAAAGTGCAAGCATTTCACATAAGTAAGCATGTCATCAAGAGTTCAAATCCAATCATTACTATTTTTTATGAGGATTGCAAAAGACTTAGTGACACGTTAACATCACAATAATTCATATGTGACATTAACTTTCACAAATTAATTTGTAACAAGGGATTGATTGTTTACTTCGAAAGCTCTAACATATGAGAAATTATTAGGTAGTACCGCATCAGCACATGGTAAGGTTTACCAACAATACAATGGAACGATATCAAATTAAATCAAGTCCATTAACTGCCTTTTTCAATACAAAGTTTAAGGACGCGTTTACTAATCCGTAATCAGATTGAGATGAATTGAATTGAGGTGGAATCAGAATCAGATTCCTTTTGAAGTTGTTTACTAAAACTGTCTGGAATCGGAATAAGAATGACATTGATCTATATAAACTATTTACTAATTCACATGAATCGGAATGAAAACTATTGTGATTACCAAAATACCCCTAGTTTAATTAATGTATTTTATATGTTAATTATTTTTAGTAAATCTTTTATTTTTTCATTTTTTGTTTTAGAAGAGAGAACAATTATTATTTTTTATTTTTTAGTAAAACTTTTATGCTTTTATTTTTGGATTTTTTAATGGGATTCTTGTGCTTATCTACTAACCCATCCAAATTGGCATTCTGGAACCCACGGCTCATATCCTCATCCTGGCAGACAGTTTTTTTCTTTTTTTTCGCCGTTCCTGCCGCTTCTTCTTCGGCGATGTAGGGGCGTCGAAGCCTGTGCCTCGGTGCGGGACTCCACAAACCCGAGCGCCACTTCAGGTCTTTCTCAGGTCTCTCTCACCTGAACCCGCTCCTCTCCCTCGACCTCTCTGGTACCGCTTTCTTCTCCGTCACTTCCATTTCCTTTTGTTGCTGAATTTTCTGTTATTATCAATGGTGGCAATTGGGTTCGGATTTTCTAAATATTTGAGTTTTGCTTTGGGTATGCTTGCCATTTTTGGGTTGATTTTGTTGTGCTGAATCCTATGGAGGAGGACGTGGAGGATTTTGAGGTGGTGGAGTGAGAGGAGGTGGCGGATGAGCAAAGAGCTGCTGGAGAGGATGGCGGAGGACAACAAGAAGATGGAGAGGAGTACTGAAGGTGCAGGGCATTTTGGGAAGAAAAATCTGATTCCGGATGGAGCCTTCTCCCCGAAATCCAAATACTACCTCCTTCTAGGTAATCCAATTCCGACAATATCAGGAATTGAATTCCTGATTTTACGTGGAACCCACGAAACTGTTCATTCCGCTTAAGTTGGTAAACAGATGAATAATCAGGAATGGGGAATGATTCCCATTCCACCATATCCTTCCCCGGTATGTAAACACGCCATAAGTGTTTGAGAAAATTGCAAATTCTAATCCATGAGATAATCTAGATGGTTGCCAACTCTGACTGTATTTTTTCAGCATCTTACGGGTTGCCGCCGGTTGGGTGCTTGAGAAAATTGCAGAGATGCACCGCGATTTCATTTTTTAAATTTATTCTAAAGTTATTGAATTCCAGCTGTATAAGGATTATAACAATAGGCGAAATTTGAATCAAAGTATAACATTCCCACCTAATAATTTCAAGTGCACTTTTGCTCATCATCATTTTGTATTAGATGAATTTGAATTTTAAAATTTGTTCCTATCTATTACACGAATCTCAAAATTCGGTGAGTATACACTAAGCAAAAATACTCCCAATAATTTCACCTCACACTTACATATTGTTCCTGGTTAAAACTTTTAGGGGTAAAATTCTCGATCCGAAAGAAATACAAATTTAGGGTAGTAACCTGAATTACAAGGTGAATAAAAACACATGTAAAACCTTGATACTGCCCCATATAAATAATATCACATATTGGCCGGGTGAAATTGAGATCTCGTATCAAAAATCGAGAACCCATTTGAAACGGCCCAAGAAATTTTCTTTTATGCTCCGGAGTTTTCTATTTTTTTCCAAGTTTTTACTCGTTAAATCATTTGTCAAAAGGAAAATGACCGAAAAATAATGTATAAAACCTTCCTTCAACGCAAGAGAAGAATGCAAACACCTTCTCACTCAAAGGCAGGCCTTACTTTTTGGGGTTTTTATATGCCCGCAACGGAACTCGAGCGCCATGACAATTAAGTTCGCTCGGATCTCTCATAGGCAATTTTGGACCTCTAATCCGATTCAATCAATCAAACACAAACCCTAATCAGATTTAAGAACAAACTCGATAAAAGAAGCTAAATATTGTAAGAGAAACGAGAGAGAGAGAGGAGTTGAAGGAGCATCAGTTTTAAAAAGCTCGAATTTTGGAAGCTTCATGGCTTTCGCCAATCAGTTTTCAATTCCAAATGTTTCTCATCATTTGCTCTCACCAACACTTCAATGTAAAACATAAATACCAAAATTTCGAAAGAACAAAAAAAAAACGAAAAATACAATAATTGGGAGAAAAGGAGTGCATGTTCTCTCACCATTGATTGCCGTTAGATGTGTTTACCGGCAGTCAAATTCATCTAACTGCGGCGACAAACGATGAATTTGAGCCGCACATTGTGCACTCCAGAGCGGCCGCAGGAGGAGGAAGATAACACAGAAGCATCTCTAGAACGCATTATATATAGGGAGGGAGGAGCTAAATCGAACCCCGAAACCCTAATTCCTTTGCCGACAACCACAACGACGCCGTTTCGTCTTGGTTATAATGATGAAAGGACGATAATGCCCCGTGTTGGGGTGAAGGCGGAGATCTAAGTTTGTGTTGGATCCGACGGCCCACATCGCTCAGACACTCGTTTATATTCATAGCCCTATGAACCCTAAAATCTTCTCGGTCGCTCCCTCTCTCGCACTCCAGCTCTCCAGGGGTTTCTTGCGGCTCTTTGGTTTTTTTGGGTTTGCAACGATCTGCATTGATCAACATGGTTAGAACCCAACGTTTAAATCTGTTGTTTTTCATATTTTATCAACCAATTGTTCTGATATGAGTCGTTATTTTCATTAGGCTCACAGATTTATCCCCATTTTTGCAAATCGCCTGTTTAAAGTGTAGATTATATTTGAATGCCACTGAATGGGTTATTTTTTTACGTGGGTCGTTCTGTTTTTGTGATATTAATTGGGAAATGTATTGGATTTGTGAGAAAATGGATCGCTTAGTGGTAGATTTTGATGGCTTGTTGTAAACAGGTGCTTCAGAACGATATCGATTTGCTTCACCCGCCAGCTGAGCTCGAGAAGAGGAAGCACAAGCTCAAGAGGCTTGTGCAGACTCCCAACTCTTTTTTCATGGTAATTATTAGTAATTATTTGATTACGAAGGTTTTTTCAACGTTTGCGTGTTCGTATAATTGTTGGTTTTTTGGGTAAAGATTGTTGATTTTGATTGTTTTTAATGTGGCAGGATGTTAAGTGCCAAGGATGCTTCAGCATGTAAGTAATGCTGCTCATTTTGATATTTTCTCGTTGACTTTGTGATGATTATATATATGTTTTCTGTATATGGTTTAAATTTGAATGAAAGTATAACGAAAGGAAAATCATTTGTGCAGAACCACCGTGTTCAGTCACTCACAAACAGTTGTGGTGTGCGGTAACTGCCAGACGGTGTTGTGCCAGCCTACTGGAGGACGTGCCAGGCTCACCGAAGGTTGCTCCTTCAGAAGAAAGGGAGACTGATGCTCTTGCTTTCATCGCATTTACATTTATTTCGGAATTGCAGAAGAGCTTTTTGGGGTTGATTTCAAGGTTGAAATATGGTTTATCCTCGTTTTAACCTTTGCCTTTTTAGTGTTTTGAGTATGTAATTTGTTAGGGCAGCGTTCTGGACCTTACCATGGGAGTGTTATGTTATGAATGTTTAGTTAATTTTGGTGGTTAACATTATCTTTTGCACTTCATATGAAGCATTGTTTTAAGTGCTCATGTGTCTACCCTTTTAAGTTTCATTGACGGATTATCAGTGATCAATTTCTCTGTCATGGAAATGTTATAGCTGCTACTTTTGTCCTTTGATGCGCAAATTTGTATTCAACGAATTTTGGGTGTTGATATTCAAATGATTTTGAACTGATTTGTTCTCGAATGTCGGGTTGTAGTTTGTTTTATTTAGGAGGGACGAATATTGAATCGCTGATTCAGCTTATGCTTTGTTTTTCTATGTTATGTTTAGTGTATACAGTGAACTTTTCTGAAGTGCAATCTGGAATCGCACTTGCATAGCGATAACCCTTTGGTACTATGAGAAAGTACTCTGATGCTTAGAATTGGATCATGTCTTGTAGTTGGGTGCATGAGAAATATTACATATTCGACACTGAATCAAGGGGTGGGTGTTACAAACAACTCCTTTTATGATTTTAGGCATTTGAGTAGTGGGGAATTTGTAGATTTCATCTTGTCTGCACAACGGTGTCTTTGGCTGCTTCAGACTTTGTGTTTCGTGCTGCATAACGCTGTGTTATCATTTTCGACTATCCTTGAATACTGCATTAGCGATCCTTGTTACTGGAGCAAGTATTGATATAAACCTTGCAACCTTTATGTTGGAATGTTTCTCTAATTGCATTGGATATGCATCTTGTTCTTGATGAATTCAGTATTCTGTAAGTGATTTGATATGAACGGTTTGTTTGCAGATTTTATGTTTTTGTTGATAAACGCCAGAACATGTCCATGTTACTAATCGTTGCAACACAATCCTGGATGTAACTTATCATTTGCCGGAATACGTAAAACCAGATTTGTTAGGATATCATTGTATCCAGAACGAAATGTCCTTCAATACAACCGATCTCTTTGTTTCAATTTATGCAGAACGAAATGCCTAATTCTAATCTAAAAAATCTAAAGTGTACGGAGTGAATTGTTTCGCTAGACGAAACTCCCGCCGGCTTTTACCTTTTATGGTTGATGCTAAATCTTTCAATTATTGTTTATTCATCACGATCTAGTGCTGGATTGTCGTAAAATGTTATTGGCACTTCGAAAAGATTATTTTACATATGGGTGAAGTGCCGAATTAGTCATTGAACTATCATTTTAGTGAAAATTAGGTCGCGGAAATATTTTTTCGATAGAATAGTCTTTAAATTCATTAAAAATTGCTAACTTCATTCTTACTATTATATTTAAAATTATTTTATTCAATTTTTCATTAACTTAAGTTATTTGACATACTTAGAGTGTAATACCGTCATTTTCTCACTTATAAGCCCTTAACATTTCATATACGTTACGAATCTAACATCTAATTTGTCACGTCCCGATCCCGACATACGTCCAGGATCGACATGTGACATCACCAAGTACTCGTATATCTAACATACCCTGCATCCGGGATATGGACAAAGCACAACTCAAGATTCGGATTGCGTAGTAATTTTTCATATACTTTGTTGATGCACAAAACCGGAAGGGTCTTGAAACAACGTAAATCCGGCCGTGAATCTACAAGAAAGTAAAGAACACAAGATGTATCGTGGTTCACCCCAATGATTGGGCTACGTCCACACTTATATTGTATTTCTCCAAGATGATTGTGAGGGAGAGAGCCTCTGTAATGTGAGAGAGAGGCTTTGAAAGGGTGAGAGGGCTTGCTCTGAATATGAGCTTTGAGAGGGTGAAGGGGCTTCTCTCATGGCCTAGGAATTGGCCTCCCTTAATGAGGAGAGTGAGGAGTCCTTTTATAGAATAAGGGATCCTCACTTATTACATATTTGTTCCTTCCTTTATTACATAATTACATTTGAGTCCCCCTGAGTATTTATACGAGATCTAAATACGGATGCCCTAAGTATGGTACAAACAGTAGTCCCCCAAGTCTTCAGTCAAGATAGTCTTTTGGCTGGAAACTTGAAATTCAGTCCATGTGTGGGCCGAAGTAACTAGATGTCGTCTTGAACTGATACTTGATATGAGGCGGTGTTCAAAGTGAAATGATGCTCAACTAGAAGTAGCACATATTGCGGGGTTGCTCGGCTTGTGGCTTATGTTGCCTTGGTTGGCTCGGCTTATGGCGTTGAAAGTGAGGGAGTCATTTTTATAGAATAAAGGCTCGCTCCTCAATACATAAGTGATGGGTTAAGAGTGATGCACACGGCGAGGCGGTTGCTTAGCTGGCGGCGATGTTCTCTAATGAAGGTGAGTGAGTCCCTTTTATAAAATAAGGGCTCGTTCCTCAATACATGAATACTGGGTTAGAAGTAATGTTCGCGGCGAGGCGGTTGCTCAGCTGGCGGCGATGCTCTCTAATGAAGGTGAAGGAGTCCCTTTTATAAAATAAGGGTTTGCTCCTCAGTACATGAATAATGGGTGCTCTCTAATGAAAGTGCGGGAGTCCCTTTTATAGAATAAGGGTTCGATCATTAATACATAAATAATGGGTTATGAATGATGTTCGCAGTAAAGCAATTGCTCAACTGGCGGCGATGCTCTCTAATGAAGGTGAAGGAGTCCCTTTTATAAAATAAGGGCTCGCTCCTCAGTACATGAATAATGGGTGCTTTCTAATGAAAGTGAAGGAGTCCCTTTTATAGAATAAGGGATCGCTCCTCAATACATAAATAATGGGCTAAGTCCTCTAAGTTTTTTTTCATGAGGCCCAATATATGGTACATAATGTAGTCCTCCAAGTTTTCAGTCAATAAAGTATGTTGGATGAAAACTTCAAATTGAATCCATGTATGGGCCGAAGTGGCGGTTGTTTGGATGTGGTATTTGTATACCCTACACTGAGGCTTTGTAGGTGAAGCTTTGCAAGTGAAGCTTTTGAAGCTGGAGCTTTGTAAATGAAGCTTTTAAAGCTAGAGCTCTCGAAGCTGGAGCTCTGTAAATGAAGTTTTCGAAGCTGATTGACATGAGTGATGCTCATGAATGTTTATGTTGATTGAAATGAGTGATGCTCATGGATGTTGACATGAGTGATACTCATGAATGTTGACATGAGTGATGCTCATGAATGTTGACATGAATGATGGTCATGAATGTTTATGTATGATTGACATGAGTGATGCTCATGTATAATTTTGGAGTACTGAACGTACTTTTGATCACCTGGTTGGTGATAATAGCGACAGGCTGTCGAATAATTTTGGAGTATTGGGCGTACTTTTGATCACATGGTTGGTAATAATAGCGGCAGGATGCAGAATAATTTTGGAGTACTAGGCGTACTTTTGATCACCTGGTTAGTGATAATAGTGGCAGGCTGCCGAATAATTTTGGAATACTAGGCGTACTTTTGATCACCTGGTTAGTGATAATAGCGGCAGGATGCCGAATAATTTTGGACCCATAGAGCCTGGCTCTTTTGGGCATATGGGCCTTTACCCTCTACATAACATTCCAGCCCATTATTTTGGGTTTGCCCTTTTTTTATTTTTTTTATTACCCTCTGATGGGGTTATACAGATTGTCTCCGAAAGATAAGAAAAATAAATTACATGTTTTCAGCATGTTGATGGGCATCTTCTGGTCCAACAGAAAGTGGAGACGGGGAACCTTGGTGGGCATCTTCTTATCTTTAATCAAGTTATCCCGTGGGATAGTGGAATCGTGGAATAGTGGAGCATCTTCTTTTCGGCTTTTCCTTTTCTGCTTTCTTTTGCTTTTACTTTCTTTTTTCTGCTTTTGTTTCA